CTAAATATGACAGATGGAAAATCTTTTACAATATTTACTACATACAAGTAACAAACACATTTCACTGCAACATTAAGGACATTGGGGTTAATGAAAATGAATTTTAATCTGAAGACATATTCTACATACCTTTTTCTTTTTTTCTTTTAGCTGTACAGTATCAAGCCAAACCCCACACTCTTCCTGAGCTTTGGCCTGCAGTGCTGGTCTAGATTTCTTCATTGTGGTTTCACACACAAACCTATATTAAATTAAGTTTGTTTATATGAATACAGTTAACAAGATATATACATATATATAGTATATTGTAGGCTATACTATGGGCTAAAAAGCTAAATTACCACACTGAAGCTACGTTCTGTTTGTCAATACCAGCAAGTTTTGCAGTTTACTGCAGTGTAACGGTTGAAATTAAAACAATATATATATTGTTATATAATATATTTTTAACATATATTTAAATGAACCTCACACACAATTGTCAAATTTACAATAGCTATTGTGACAGAACTGGCGCAACCTCTCAATCAACCAAATGCTGTATTCTCTAATAACAAACAAGAGTTCATTCACCATAAAAAAAAAGCATTTTTACGAACCTTAAATCGAAATGATTTCGTTTGAAGCTTTTCTCTGTATGTATTCACATTTATTAATTCGCTGTCGTTGATGTTCGTTTGAGTTTAGCGCCTCACCGAAGGGCTGTCTCTGATATTTAACTGCCTGGATATAATGTAATTAAGTACAACTTAAAAACACATTAAAATCTTTAGAGCATTTTAATATTTTATGTTGTAAATAGATAAATAAAAATGACTTTTTTAAAAAGATATCAGTGTTATTTTTATAAGTATATTTTCTTTATTCAGGCGAAAAAGACACCTATTATATTGACGTCGTCTGGTCCTCACATGAGGGTGTGTTTACATCACGTCACAGCAGTTTTCCAAGAAGGTGAGTACAGGGGTTTAAACTTAAGATTTGACCCGGTTATGGGCGTAATATACAAATGGTATTGATAATATATCGTAAAGTAAATATCCAGAAATAAATAAATGTAATATCACTTATTAAAACAAGTGTAACGGTTAACAATTGCGGTTAGTCTACAAGGAAATGCTAACGAGCTAGCATGGTCGTCAAACCTCAGTTTAGATTATTTGACAAAACAAGAACCTGGAAAACTAGCCCTTAGCCCTACTATACGTCCAATTGAAAAATATGTGTCTAAATGAGATGTTGTCTATGCTAAGTCATTTCTAGAGAAGCGCTCTCTCCTTTTGTCCACAGTGTTGCTTGCTCAGCACAACAGCGATTGGATAGGTTTAATTTGATTGACACACTAATTATTTTACAAGACCACATAACATCCATAAGTGACAATTTATACAATATGTAATAAACAATATTGTTTGAAAAGTTAGCTGTTGTTTATTTGCAATTGCCAATACTTTGTCTCCAGCTTGACGAACTTATAAAACAAGCAGAAGAACAAAAATCCTCGTTGTTCATCTTCAGTCAAAAGCTATACATATTTATCACAATTATCAAACTTAACATTCATGTTGTTTTACTTTCCAAATCTTTCTTTTTAAATCCCCTGATGAAACTGAGTATCTCATAACATGTCGACATCTTAGTGCATCATAGAAAGGTTTAACAATTACTTGTAATTCATAAGCTGACAGTTAATGTATATATTTTTACAGATAACAATTAATCTGCATCATGTTTCATGGGATACAAGTTTCAGGAGGTGTAGGAGGAGGTAAGATGGCAATCAACTCTTATGCCTCAATTTATACAATTTTCAGTCAAACATAATATTGAACAGTCACTAACTTAAAGCATGTTATAATGTATTTTTTTTAATTCTCAGCTCCTGCCAATAAACCTGAATTGTATGAGGTAATTTGTTTAACTTCTGTTTTCACATAGCTAAGCCAGTGTTTCATATACCATTGGTTTGCTTGAGTTTGTCTTTATTTTTTAGGAGGTGAAATTATACAAGAATGCAAGAGAACGAGAGAAGTATGTGTAAAATTTGTATACCTCTCCTTGTCTTGTTTGAACAAACTCATTTATAATATTGCCTGTTCTGTACTTCTAAATCATTAACTTGTTTTTAAACTCAAGGTATGATAACATGGCAGAGTTGTTTGCTGTCGTCAAAACTCTGCAAGCCCTGGAAAAAGCTTACATCAAAGACTGTGTCACACCCAATGAGTAAGGGATATTTGAATAAATACATACTGCCTCCAACTTAAAAAAAAAAATATATCATGTATTTTCTGTCACAGATACACTGCCTCCTGTTCCAGACTATTGGTTCAGTATAAGGCTGCATTTAAACAAGTGCAGGGCTCTGATGTTGGCTCCATTGATGACTTCTGCAGAAAGTACAGGGTAAGGGTTAAGACTCATTTTTTTAACCTAAATTGTTTATTAATTTCATTATTATTAAGATATAGTTTTGATTAATAAAGATTTTGGGGTTTTTTGTTTTTGTTTTTTTGTAGCTGGACTGCCCACTGGCCATGGAAAGAATCAAAGAAGATCGGCCAATAACCATCAAGGATGATAAGGGCAATCTGAACCGCTGCATTGCAGACATAGTTTCTGTACGTACTACTTGTCTTCATCACAGCAAACAGAAAGCTATCTGCCACAATAAAAAAATGAGTTATATATAACATATATATGTTATATAATAAGTATAAAAAACATTTTAATTGTATTATTTACTGTGTCAAGTGTGAGAGAAAATTGTAAAAGTAGTTTTTGTTTAAATTTGCCAACAGTTTATTTTTTAAACTTGATTTGGTATATACACATCACTGTGTTTGACTTTTTCTCTTGTTAATTTTTAGCTCTTCATTACTGTGATGGACAAACTGAGACTGGAGATTAGAGCTATGGATGAGGTAAAGAAATACAAATAAAAGAGTCATTGCACCATATACTGTATCAGTGCATCAGTGAAAGAATGAATCTGTATTTTCTTCATCCAGATCCAGCCAGACTTGAGGGAACTGATGGAAACTATGAATAGAATGAGCAACATGCCCCCCGACTCAGAGGCAAAGGACAAAGTCAGCCTTTGGTAGGCAACACTTAACTGTTTTCATGTTGAGCACCAGATGAGTCTCCTGTATGCAAAGCACACATAAGTGTTTCACCTGCTGCGTTCCAGGGTCCAAAAGAAGTGTCCCGACTTCCTTATTGGTTTATTAATTGATAGACTTTGAACAGAGGTCGTCTGTCATGCAAATAGTCATAGGGAAGTTTTGTTTATGACATCTGTTCTTAGTGTGATAAGTGAAAAAGATGCTTCAAAAACTAAGAAAAGCTCAATATTTTGTTTTTTTTTAACCATCAGATGGTTGTGTTTCTTAAATTGGCAAGTTTTTATCCAGCAAACAGTTAAGTCTCTTACTGATCTAATCTGACATGACGTTTAATCATTATCTTTGTTGTCCTTTTCTCCTTAGGTTGACCACTCTCAGCAGCATGTCAGCCTCAGATGAGTTGGATGATAATCAGGTTCGCCAGATGCTTTTTGACCTGGAGTCGGCCTACAATGCCTTTAACCGTTTCCTTCACTCTTCTTAAAGCATCTCTTCCTCATGGACCTAAAAGTGTCGCTCTAATACCTGCTCTGTCAAAGGAAACACTCTCTCACTCTTTTCTTGAAGAGAGTAGAAATGTGTCGGCAAAAAGACCTCCTCTCTGTCCCTGTCTCTGTGTTTGTTTAGTCTGTCTTTATTTATGTTAAATACAAAAAAAACTCCACCACCTCCTAAAGTAAACTCCTCTTTTTTGTGGTACATTGTTCTGCTTGTAGTTCCAGTTGGTTTTGTGATTTATCCGGTGTTTAGCCGTGCTTGTCAGATCAGACATAAAGCAGGTTCGTCCTAAATTTGAGTTGTCCCAAAATGTAATGGGTTTGAAAAGCACACACTCGTAAACAAAAGACAACCATGGCCAAAACCTTTGTTTTGAGAGATTAATATTTCCTATTAGGTCGTTTTGTACCTAAATGTATGCAAGATTTGCCACCTGGTGATATCTTGGGTATTTTATTTTCTAATTGACATTTTAACTAAGGGATTTAGTCATAGAGTAAGAGTATATGTTTTGATAAATAAGGGTAAACATTTGTTTCAACTTTAAATCTGAAAATTAGTCAGCCTATTGAAATGATGGTGGAAGGAAATTGTTCTGTTATTGTGTCCATTGTTTTCTGTTAACATGTATCGTTCATATTCAAAGTGAGTCACATTTAGTGAGTAAGTGAGAGATGGACACACTGTCTTTGTTTTTCTTATTGAATATTAACCCACCCTTTTGGAAGACATTAAGGAAAATGTGTAATAAGATTTATCAATGTATATAATAGTGGTGATTTTTAAATATAAGCACGTGTGATCTTTTTAGAAATAAAATGTAAAAGTCTACTTTTCTCCTTGTCTGTTGTTCTTGTGAACAAGATAACATTTAAGCAAGGCTGTGTTTTCCTTTAAATTGGATCATGTGACCAACAGATGGTGCAGTTTAAAGGAAAACATGAGTTAACACATGATGGGCGATGTAACTAATTGTCACCAGAAAGAGAGGAAAGGGCATGTTACCAAAAGACCTGTGCACACAGTGAAACATTGAAGAATTGTGATATTTAGGAGTATCTGCAGGAGGGTATCAGAAGAAATTAACTCTACAGAAACGGCCTTTTATGAGGGTAAATAAAGGGGGATTTGGTCTCATTTGATATAAGATGTGCACAAAGCTTCAATGTGAATAAATTACTTGAGCTGAAGACCATCGTTCTAACTGCATGAAATGTGTGGAAAACTGCTATAAATCAGTTTTGTTTTTTGGGAAAAGAAATACGCCACTGGTAGAATCAAATAAAGTTTCGGTTTTGTGTATGCGTTCCCTTTAAGAACCAAGCAGCAGTACTTTCGTTTCCAGGACGACAAAAAAATGACAAAACTCATCGACTCGTCTGTTTGCTGCGGTGTGGGAAAAGTTGCAGTGAATTTTGACAGCCACCAAGACAAGTAGCTCATTCTTGACTTGGTAACTGGCTAAACTAGTTTCCATGTCAATTCATTAACCAGAGCGGAAAAACAACCTGCCGCTTCAACACTGACGCTCGGCGAACATCAACAACACAGAGCTGGAACGACTGGAGGCTGGTAGTAACCATTGGAATGGTGCTACAGATGTGATTGGATCCGCCTCCGTCACCGATCAATAACCACTTCGGACATCCAGATAGTTTATTTTTCTCAGTCTATGTGTTTGTGCATGACTAAGGCTAAGGACCCGTTGGAAAAATGAGCAAAAAATATGAGTCAGGAAATGTTTCTGAGTTGGAGGAACACATCTCTGAAAAGTATGAAATCAAGAGGAGGCTTGGAAAAGGGGTGAGTGTATTTGATGATGATGATGATGATGATGATGATTACTATTATTATTATTATTGGTCAATCCACAAACTATTTTCCTTAAGTTTCACTTCTACGGTTTAAAACAGTCCAACTTTGTTCTACATGTTCCTTCATGTTCTCCACATCTTAAAGTGCATCTTTACCTTCTTTAGGGCATTCCTAAAGGGGCCTCAGCTTTAGGTGCAAAGCTACTACTAGTGATGTAAGCATGGGCCTTATTTGCTTTGGCCGGTGCACTGTTTATTCATTGTGGATCAGCTGATGTTTAGAGACACTTGTTTCCCCTGGAGTCCATTCCTTTTTTGTTTTTCTCTCCACTGCCGTGCGATGACTTGGCTCAGAACTAAAAACAGCCTGCTGTCTTTCCATAGTCCGTCCACAGAGACGGACAAATTGCTGCTGTTAAACGTTCAGCGGAAAGTGCCACGTACATTTGCCAAGCAGTCATACCTGAGGCCCTTTGAGACTCAGGTTACACAGCTGTTTAACCTGTTCACAGGTGATTGGTGGTGTGGTGTTCTCCTGCACTGTGATGCTTCAGCAGGCCCAGACCCCAGGGCCAGACCCCAGGGCCATTGTTTTAGAATGTCATAAAGAGGTTTCACACCAGGAGACTAGACAAGAGGGAAAAAACACAATGTGAGAGATCGTAACTGTTCATTAAAATAACAATGTAAAATAAAAAGGAAAGTGAGTTGAAATATACTGTATAAACAAAATATGCATTCTTATTATTTCCTCTTGAAAATAGGTCCAGTGATTGGCTGATTTTGCAGGTTTTTTACACTGTTGCGAAGTATCGTGGTTCAATGGTATTGCACAAGGAAACAAAATATTGCACCTAGACGGTGGTAACAGTGAGGCCAGAATCAACAGAGACAGATGAGTTTTCAGTTTTGACCCAGTGAGTCATGGCTGAGGCTGCAGCTCTGAACATGACCTCATCTCTCATCTCAGCTGCACAGCTAATTTTTTTGTTTCTCAGATTTTTTTCACAGAAGAGTTAGAATGAAGAAGTTACTTTTATTTATAGAGTGACTGTTTCCTCTCTGTCCTCAGGCCTATGGCATTGTGTGGAAGGCAGTTGACAAGCAGACCGGAGAAATTGTGGCTGTAAAAAAGATCTTTGATGCCTTCAGGAACAGAACAGATGCCCAGGTGTGTATCGGCAAATTACTGACATTTATTGCAAAATATTCATTGTAATCTTTATTTACATTTTGCCATCTCACTACCTTGTATAATTAGCTCACCTGAAGCTTTAGTTTGCTTTAAAGAATGTTTTTTGTTTTCTGTTTGTTTTACAGCGAACCTTCAGAGAAATACTGTTTCTTCAGGTAACAATACTGTTGTGATTGGTAGAACTGTATGGTCAGACTTCTCTGAAAACAAATGTGCCGTCTCACTGTGCTGTGTAACTCATTACGACTCCTGTTCCACTTTTAATCTGGCCTTTGACTCCATTGTTGTGGTCACGAGTTATGAAGTCACTGTTATGTAACATCTGTTAGCCCTCTGCCTCAGTTGTTTACACAACCTTGACACCATTCCGGGCAGTTTCACACTGTGTGTATGCATGTGTATGTGTTTCTGCCTCACTCAGGAGTTTGGAGATCACCCCAATATTGTCAAACTCCTCAGCGTGATCAGAGCACAGAATGACAAAGACATTTACCTGGTCTTTGAATATATGGGTAAGGACTGCTCACACAGGTTTCATACAGATTAACCTCCACTCTAGAGGACAAAGTTAGGATTTTTACCTACACTTGGGTGCATGTGTGTTTGTGTGTGTGGTTAATATTTAGGTGTTAACCCATTGTTTGCCAAACACTGAGTTATGGCCCACAGATGTGTTTTGAAAAACTGTTAATTGTTGATTAATTGTTTTTAATCTTGTTTACTTACTCATTAGTTACTTACTTATAATCACATACTCAGTGTGTTCTTCTGGCTATTTGTTTTGGTTGAAATAAAAAAAAAAGTTCCATCGACTTATTTGCAGTCATTTATAATACTAATTCTATGAGTTTTTCTCCGTGCGCCGATCCAGACTCTGACCTTCATGGAGTAATAAAGAAAGGCAGCCTGCTCAAAGACATCCATAAAAGATATGTGATGTACCAGCTCTTCAAGGCCATTAAATACCTGCACTCAGGAAATGTGATTCACAGAGACCAAAAGGTTTGTCACTGATCTTTTTTGTTGTTGTTGTTGTTCGAAAACATTACGTATAGTGAAGTGTTTTAATAAATAAGGAATTAATTGTCATTTATCGCCCTCTGCTGGCTGTATGTGAGACCACATGATGTGGAGCACAACATAACGTAAATGATACAGACTTATTAGAACTACTCAGACTTCATAAATGACAATTTAGTCCCAATTTACATTTGTCTTTGGCCTTAGTGCTAACCAAAACGAATCAATAATAAATAAAATATAACTGTCCCTGTGAGGAGGAGCCTCTGTGAAATCAACAAAACCATACAGAAAATAGATATTTTCTGTGCGAGGTAAAATATCAGAAGTCTATATTGTACGTAGAGATATTACACAGCCTGGTCAGGTGTGGAATTACACCCCACTTAAATGACCTCATTCAGCTAAGATTGTCTGACTCCTACAGCCATCCAATGTCCTGCTGGACACCGACTGTGTAGTCAAGCTGTGTGACTTTGGCTTGGCCAGATCACTCAACCAGATCCAGGAGGACAGTGGGAATCCCGCACTAACAGAGTATGTGGCCACCCGTTGGTACCGAGCTCCTGAGATCTTGCTGGGCTCCACAAGGTAGTTTTTCTTATTTGTAGTTTAAGCCACAGAATGTCTTGATGATGTCGATGACAGTAAATTACTTTGACATTACCCTTAGATACACCAAAGGTGTGGACATGTGGAGTCTTGGCTGTATCCTGGGAGAGATGCTCCTGGGAAAGGCCCTGTTTCCTGGGACTTCCACCATCAACCAGATAGAGAAGATCATGAGCGCCATTCCACACCCCAGCCCAGAGGGTACAAAAAAAAAACACTTGGATTTTATTACATTATAATACAAACAAATCACTGTGTTTTCATCTTTTGATGATTGTTTCTTTTGATTTATTTTCAGATATTCTTGCAATTAGGTCTGAATATGGATCCTCTGTCATTCAAAGGATGTTACTGAAGTAAGAAAGGCTCTTCGTCATCAGTGAAGTGTATTGTATCTTTACTTGGATTTAATTTGATTTATTTTTCTATGTCAGACCCCAGGTGCCTCTGGAGGAACTCCTTCAACCCTCTGTGCCTCCTGACGCAGTGGACCTCCTGAAGGGTCTGCTAGCCTTTAACCCAGAGAAGCGACTGACTGCTGAGGAGGCTCTCAGACACCCATATGTAGCCAGGTGTTTAGAAAAGTATATTCTAGAATAATGTGTCTAAATATGTCTTACTGAATTATGACTTTTTATTGTAAGATTCCACAATCCAGCCAAGGAGCCATCTTTTCACTACGATGTTTTGCTGCCAGTAGATGATGGCGTGCAGTTATCTGTGGTCCAGTATCGCAACAAACTTTACGAGGTGTGGATGAGTCTGCAGTGTTTGGAAATCAATTATTCCTGTAAGAAATCGTAACGGATGCATTCACACAGCATCAGACTTTTTACTCTCCATGTTATCTTTGCAGATGATATTGGAGAGGAGAACGAATCAGGGAATGCTGAGACTGATCCAGCCAAAGGACACATACTGCATCAGTAGCAGAGAGAAACCAAGTGTGAAGGACAGTGAAGAGAAACCTCATGTGACCATGAATGGTGATGACAACAGTGATAAAGATGAAAAACTCCAACATGACAAGAATGAAGAGAAAAACCCAGTGTCTTTAAAACATGGGCCTGTCAATGTACCAAGTCAACCTTCTGTGGAGAAGACGAGTCCGTTGGAAAGTCCTGGTTTAAGGAAAACCACATATAATCCCATTACACATGCAACGAGTATGTTTGAAAATGCACATGGCTTTGGTGAAATAATCTGCCTAAAATATAATCACTGCAGCTTTGTATAAAAATGTAAAATTATATTCACAAGTCTCATTTCCTCTTCTAGACAGTTTCGTTCGCAGCCTAGCTGCTCCACTACAATGTCATAACTCCACTGCAGCCAGTCAAAAACCAAGTGAAAATGCAACGTCACCAACGGATGGTGCCAATGCCAATACAGTAAGCATTCTAACCCTTTATGGTCTTTATGGGTTTGTTTTTTGTGTGTGTGTGGTCCATTTGACTTTTTTCCTGTCCTTCCATTAGACCATGGACCAGATTCTCCAGCGTGGTCGCTCAGCACCTGTGGCTCACAACCGTACCTTCTCCTTGACCTTGAATCAGACGCAGAACAATCCTCTTGTTCGCAAAGATGAGCCAACTCTGTCTTCTGGGCTGCATGTCACATCTGCATGCCTAGTCAGTTTGCTGCAGTTGAAAACACAAAAATATAGTTGTCTTGGTAACAGTTATCAAATTGTATTTTCCTTCCTTTTCAGAACCAGCGCTCCAACCCTCAAGTTCGTGACTCACGCCCTCCTCCACCACGGTTTAGCAAAAAGGTTTTTCAAACTAACTGCAATGTGGCAGCTGCAGGGGATCCCAGAGCCAAACTTGGCAGTTATTCTCAGGCCTACGGCACAATCAATAAGACTGAACTAGACAATCTGCGCCGGAGTCGTCCTTGCAACTAGTTACTGCTAACATGCTGTTGGTTACACAGACCAGCAGTACATCCAACCACAGTACAGACTGTTACTCTTGTAATAAATGCACCCATGGAAACATGGGTTTTTTTTTTATTCTCTGTCTGTGACAGTGATTAAATATTTATACATTGTAGTTTGACTTTTCTTTTTACTGATGCACCAACAAGTCAGGCTTTCTTTTTATCATGTACCTAAACACACAAATATTCAAGACATGATTAGCTACATATCACATCAATAGATACAGATAAATAAATATGTGGAACATTTGACAAATTAAAATAGAAAAGGTAACATACAAACAAAATTACAACAATCTCAACTTGCACTTTGTTTTTGTTTATTTATTATTAATTTTTAATATTTAATATAGAGGAAATTTAGTTTACCGTACAGCAATGTTTTAAAAAAATTCATATAAAAACTTATTATAAAAGGGCAGGTAAATTGGCGCAAGTAGTCAATTAGTCGCTGATGAATTAATTTTTCATAACACTGTAGCAGCAATGGTCAACATTATCGCACATGGCGAGCTCGTTATCTTTCTGGAACATTTTGTTGTTGCGGTTCACTTTTTTAGTATCTAAATAACCCCCCCCCAACTCGCTCATTAAAAAAAACGTTGTCGAAAATATTACTGCGTCACCAATTTAATATTCTGTCGCCTGTCCACCGGAAGCTCACGTCACCTGACCACGTCGTGCGTCGTCATTGACTGAATCATCTCAGTATACAGATCTCAGTTGGATCAGTTTTAGGGTCTCCCGAAGGAGTAGGAGGAGAGGACGAAAAAGAAGGAGGGACACACTAAAAAGTAGGTTTTTTTGTGAAGTGTATATTGTGGGACATTTCGTCGAGTAAGCGTGCGTTTTACCGTTGCATGCTTTCGTCATTTGTTGTCGGCGTTTTATTTATTATGGTGCAGCCACCGCTACCGTTGGCTGCGTCGCCTTTTGCAAGTGCCAAGTAAATAAACAAACAACAAAATACTGGCACGATGGAAATTAACACATAATGTTAATATAGGTGGTTATAATTATTAAATGTATACCACAAAGCGCTGACAGCTCGGAAAGTGGGAACGCGACGTGTGGTCATCGTCTACGGAACACACAAAAAAACAACGTTAGCTATCTCGAGTTGCTTATCAGGGACGTTGTTGCAATATCACTGTGCAATGTCGTTGCTGACATTTAAGAGGGAATATTGGTAAATGTTCAATGAGAGATGATGTCAGTGTCGCATGTCTGCGCTGCTGGGGCCTACCAGAGATGCGCCCTCTGCTGGCGGAAGGATGAAAGTGATGCTGAGTTGTTCTTATGTGGTTCAAGTTTCTATTTTGGATTTTTAGGCCTGTAAACATATCCTTTGTCACTCCTTTAGCTCTCTTGTCAATTGATATTTTGATAATATTATTAGGTAATTAAATATAAATTGATGTCTTAACATGATGTTTTAACATCTACTTACTGTAAACATTGGATAAAACAACCACAATTAATGTTATCTTGTTATTATTGTTGTTTTTATTACTTACATTACCAATACGAATCAGTAAATGAAGCCAACATGATTTTTACTGTGTCAATGCTTAGCAAATTTGAGACCATTGTTTTTGCAATTACCCAAACCTTTCTACTGTTGTTTAATTTAATAAAATTTAATTCATTATATATGTGGTAAATTACACCAGAAAAACACAAATGGAAACACACAGTCCAATTATTAATCTATATGTGGTCAGTGGTTGCATTACTGTTGTCTGTGCTCCTGTCAGTGCCAAGTTCCCTTTTTCTAGTTCTGTATCATACAGTAAAAACGTCCAGTGTGGAAATTAGAGTCTGCTGTGGGTTATGGCCAATAGTCTTGAGAAAATATCCCATCATGAAAAGAAGGGAAAAGACATCTCTGTAATACTAAATTACTACTTACACCATATATTATAATTGTTTCTTTTGTCTGCATAATTCACTTTTTTCTACTTTTTGGGCCTTGCTTTTCTATATATCTTTTTATGTCACCAGGTGAAGTTACTTCAGGTTAGACTAAACAAAAGCTGCTGCTGACAGGGCCTGGCATGATGACAGTATCTTGCCTTATTGCTGCATTGGCTGGCAGGGAAGCTGACAGCCACACAGCAGGGTTTTATCTGCCTGTTGGTCTCTTTTCGAAACAGAACTTAAGATGTTATCTGACAGCATGACAAAGACACTTGAACTTAAACCAAGTTAAGTTCATTCAGTTTATTGTCAAAGGCCTAAACTGACTCATGTTGAGTTCTTTAGATGCTACATACTGTAACATGAAGACTTCTGTGCAGAACCCCACTTTATTGTATGACTGTCACTCTTATTCTGTGCCCATTTCCTGTTGTTGCCCAGGCGTCCATGTAGCATGAGTATTGTGTGATCCAAATTGTGTTAACGTAGCAGTCTGGATAGCCTCCTGAATCCCTGCCTTTACCCTAATTCCTCCAGCTATAGCCATGAGAACCCAGGAGAGATTGAGTGACACTGGTGTTAACTGCAGCATTAGAGGGTTTTCTCAAAGAGGATTTGATCTTGTGCATTTGAAATATTATGATTATCAGAGAAGGTGACTCCTCATGGCTCCCCTCACTGAGCAGCCTGATCCCTTTTATTTTTGCTCATACTATAAAACTACTTTTAGTTGTAACTTTTCATTCAATTCAACAAGTTACAACAACTGCTTGTGGGATTTCTGTAAGGTCTGATCACAATGAACTCATCATGTGTGCTGTAATACTGTTATCCACACTTTGATGAGTTATCAATTAATTAACCGCATTAACGTAAAGTTCTTTGTTCATAAAACCAAGCCTGACAATGCACATTGTAAACAAATCCCGGAATGATAAATGGATTAGTTCTTGGTGATCTTGTGACCATTACATTATGATTTAAAACCTTATGTCTATTCCTAACATGGATGATGAATCCATTCAGGCTTAGTTGTTATCCTACATGTTTCACATGGACAGGGAGGGGATCACATGATTTGAAAGTTTGCCTCACATAATTAAAGTAAGTATTATTAAAATAATAAGAGACTCTGGGGTAGAACAGTTTGGAAATTGTTGCGCAAACAGTTGTCTTTAACAAGACAGCAGTGTTGGAGTGAGAGTTTTGCCTCCTGCAATAATTACTGTATCCTGTTGTGATAACTGAGGCCAGTGTGGTTTGATCTGGATGGTCATTTCTAGGTGTGGTGACATCACCATTATGCTAGTATGACTGTAGGTAGTTTTTTTTTACTAAAGAAACATGGCCAGGTAATTTTCATGATTTTTTAAAAATAGTTTTCTAGTGACTCTAGTGAAGCTGAAGCCGTCTTGTATTCTGAAGATGAAATAAAAATAATAAATCTGGAGTTCTCCCACTTTAAGGGATCATTTTTGAGCCGTCTGGCTAACAAGTTGAATGCTAATTAACATATTCTAAATAATAATAAGATTTAGTAATAAGTTCTAATCTAAAGAACTTGAGTTCAAATTTTGTGTGTATCGGACTTCAATATTTATGAATAACTCTGGTTCTAATCTCTTCACAGGTTGTTTTTAAAGCGGACTTGTATCACTTCCTCATCATGTCCCACGACAAGAGTGGATACCCTGGTATGGGTGAGACCAACCCACTCCATAATGATGTCTATGGTCAGCCTCAGCCTGGTTTTGGTATGCCTCCACCCAACTACAACCAGGCCCCGGGTGGACCTTATCCACCGGGCGGACAACCAGGATTCCCTCAGGCAGGCCTGGGTTTTGGCCCTGGTCCTTACCCCCAAATGCCTTACCCACAGGGACCCTACCCACAAGGACCCTACCCACAAGGACCCTACCCACAAGGACCCTACCCACAGGGACCCTATCATCATGGACCCCAACAACCAGGCTTTCCTGGGGAACCCACTGGTGAGTCAGACTCTCTAGTCAATCATGTTCCTGTTCCTGGTTTCACACAGCTGAATAAGAAATGATTCAAAGATAACTGTGACACTTACTGTCTGTAGGACCCCAAGGACTTGACTTATTGAATTTTTGATTATGGATCTGTTTGTTCACCAGGACCCGCTGACAGCCCTGGTTACCATGGAGATGTGCCTCCATCTTACTACGACAATGATGAGTTCACCAACTCAGGCTTTGAAGACAAGTCTATTCGACGAGCCTTCATCAGAAAAGTACATCCTTAACTTTGAATTGGTTAAATTGGTCCATGTGATTGTGTAGCTGTCCAACCCCGTTTAAACTCTATGTCTGGTTCCCTCCAGGTCTTCATGGTTCTCACAGTGCAGCTCATGGTGACCTTTGCTTTTGTTGCTGTCTTCACCTTCGTGGATGAAGCCAAGACCTTTGTGCGATACAACCCGTGGACATACTACGTGTCCTATGCAATCTTCTTTGTGTCACTAATCGTCCTCAGCTGCTGTGGAGACTTCCGTCGCAAGCACCCCTGGAATCTGGTGGCACTGGTAGGACTATTTTCTACTGGCAAACAGAAAAGAAAACAAAAGCTGCTGTCTTCAGGGATCCTAAGTTCGTCATGTGCTTGGAATTTACAAATCTTATCTGTATAGGCTTCAGATTTAATCTACAGAGAAATTAAAGGTACAGAATACACGGGTGGGACCAAATTGTTTAAATTAAATTAGTGCATCCTCGGTCTGTGCACCAAAGCAAATTCTGTGCTGTGTAAAAGGTTTAGCTGTAGAGATAGTGCCCCCTGCTGGATTAAATCAGTGTAAGCGGTCTCTGGACTTGAATGGCTTTTCAAACTGCATATTTAAAACCCATTAAATGTACAGTTTGATATTAGATATTTTAAGAGAGATGTTGGAAGTGTGACATGAAATAAGTGAATTTGATTTTCTTCTGTTTTCCAGTCCATCCTGACACTGAGCCTCTCCTACATGGTGGGAATGATCGCCAGCTTCTATGACACGGAGACGGTCATCATAGCTGTGGGCATCACCGCAGTGGTCTGTTTCACCGTGGTCCTGTTCTCTCTCCAGGTCAGAACATGACATTTAACAATGGGTGTCCAGACACTTGATGCAGAAAAGGACAAAATTGAGTGAATCAAACTAAGTAATTAGATTCAGCCAGTCATTGACTGATAATGTTTTTGGTATAATTTTGAGACTGTTTTTTTTTTTTTTTTCCCACAGAGCAAGTATGACTTCACTTCCTGTCGGGGGGTGCTGTTCGTGTGCCTGATTGTGCTGTTGCTCTTCTCCATTCTCTGCATCTTCATCCGTCACAGGATCTTGCACATCGTCTATGCCTCACTGGGGGCTCTGCTCTTCACCTGCGTACGTTTCACACTTGTTGTGTCGAAGCATGACACTGCTTTTGTCAGAATTAATTTGTGGCTGAAACCTGTTATCTGATCTACTACTACTGAACTAAAACATTTGCAAAAAAAGAAAATCAGCCAAATAGCTAATAATATCCTGAAGTATTATACAGTACAGTATACAATATAATAAGTATATAATTAGTTGTTTTTCATCCAAAAGATTACTTAGCCTTAACTTTTTTTTCCTACGGCAATCTATCATTCAGCTGTTCTTCTTTTCTCTGCAGTTTTTGGCTGTTGACACTCAGCTTCTTCTTGGTAACAAGAAGCTGGCCCTGAGTCCAGAGGAGTACGTCTTTGCTGCTCTCAACCTCTATACTGACATTATCAACATCTTTCTCTACATCCTGGCTATAGTGGGACGCTCCCGCGAATAGGGCTGTTGACGCCCTGAAGACAACATCTCAGCAGCAGAGAACTCTCTCTGTCATTAAAAGTAGTTACTAACATGCCCATTTTTACCTCTGACTCTTTTACTTTCTCACCATTGTCACCTTTACAGTCGGTTGAGGAGATGCAGCTAAGAAAAACCACTACTCATTCATGTCAATCATCATGCCCAGAAATACAGAAGGCAATGATGTATCTTTTCTGTAAGTCTGACTCTGCTTGATCATCACTATCTGATGCCTCTATTAACTCCCTCACTTACCAAAAAACACACAGTTTGGCATGGCACATATAGTATAAATACATTCTACGCAACACATATTCCATGAACGCCTTGTTCTGCTGCAAAGATAAAGCAGGGCTTATGCAAGGAGGTCTTAATACTGATGCAAAACATTTTCTAGAAGAAGGAAGAAATGTTGCCCCCTTCAGTTTGTTTCCATTTTCCTTTTTCAACACACTGGTGTAAACTAATTGCATGACCGCACTGAGAGCCGGCTGAAGGTGGACCAGTGTTCTCCACAGCTGTCAGAGTGATATTTGTTCAATTGCTTGGTCATCACAGCTGTAAATAATTCTGTGTATTCCTGTGTATGATGTCGACCTCTTGTGTTCAATACTACTGATGTTTTAACCTGAATATCAGACCTTTACTGACCCATTATGGTAGGTAAAACCTTATAATGGCATAAGAATTGAGATCATTGTTGAATGTAAATGACAAGATGTTAATGCAGATTAACATTTACAAACGATATATTAGTATTTATTTGTCATCATTTGTATGATTTTTTTTAACCCTTTTCGTGTACATGTTGTGTTTTCTTTGATTTTTCTTGACACCAGTTTTCTCTTGTTCATTGTTAACTGTGGAGTGGTATTTAAGTGTTTTAGTTATTATTTTTGACACAAGGTGAGAATTTTAAAAGTGGTCAAAATGAAGGATCCAGAAACCATGAGTGAAGGAGGAGTTCTGGTTTTGTTGTTTAACACTGAGCCCCTTGATCTGTCATACGTTCTCCTGAATGTCACACTTTTGTGTGGTAACTGAGGAAGAATGCTGTATAAAAATGTATGCTTGACGTAGAAAGCAGGGCTGATTTAGAATGGCTATACACTGTTGTTAAATAGAGAGAAAAACTGCTGAAATCTACAGATTCCTATTCCTCAAGGTTACAGTGTATTGCATTAGTGCAGTAGGAAGAAGGAAATAATATGCACTGAAAGCAAAAACACTACTGCACACAAATACATTACATTTATTTTATTGATGAAATGGTAACTTCTTTTGATCATTTTGGGTTTCCACCTCTTGCATGATTTTTCTGTTGCATGTGCTGGTGGTGCACACTGTACCCTATTCTAACTACACTTGTTGACTCCCCTCTTCGTTCTTTTAAACTTTTGTGTTGTATCTAACTTACATGGGTGTGTATATAAAAGTCTGCAGTGATTTGATGCGTATAGATGAAGTAAATATTGGGCTTCATGAGTTGGTTTGCATTGTATATTTGAATTAAATCAAAGTGGAACATCACACCTGTGCATCCGTGGTGTTTCGTTTTGTATTCATCCAAGATGGATTAAAATATATGGAACTGAGTTTATTTGTCAGACAGGATGAAATCCCCCCTTTTTCAGTGTTTGTCCTTTGAGTGTGATCATTATCCACAGACCTCAAATTTTAAAATGTGATGTGACTTTGATGTGACAACTCATTCTAAATGTTATCTGCAACGTCTTCCAGACACTATCTGAGCTTACCTCATCAGCTACTTTTATCTGGTGTTTCATTACTCCATTTATGCAACTTCAAAGGAACAAAGAACATGGCCAGTAGTTTAACAGTTAAAATCAGATGTCATTATAATTAAGACAAACAATCATCAAAAACCTTCTGAAAAATAGTAGTAAATAGTAAAACATTCTGCACACCACTGACCCACACAGTCCCAATCCTCCACGTTTCCTTTTCCTTTGTTGTATTTGAACAACAATATAATTTGTTGAAAAGTGTTTCCTATTCTTTATTTAATTATTTTTTGTATTTATTGTTTTGATAGATAGACTATACATGCTATCCCACACCATGACCCAGAGTGACCCCCATGCTCCTCGTGGGACCAACCCACCCCAGAACGTCGTCTGTGATTGCCCTCAGCCAACTTATGTCCCTCTCCAATGCTACCAACCAACAGCTGGCTACAGGCAGCCAGGATTCCCTCATGCAGGCCCAGGTTTTGCCCCTGGTCCTTGCCCCCACATGCATTACCCACAGATGCTCCACCCACAAGCAACTTACTATCAGGCGCCCTTTCACCAAGGACCAACTAGGACAGAGTTTCGTGGAGACCCCACTGGTGAGTGGTTGATTTATAACTCATTTGTGTTTGGAAACACGTGGTGGCTTAGCTATAGTAGGTCAACAATAATAATAATAATAATAGTTGAGTCCCTTATGCTATCTATCAGGCTGCCACTCCTAGGGATATGGTGTTCCTCTGGGAATCAAACCCATGACCCTCTGCTTTCAAGGCAGGCATGCTAACTGCTACACGGTGGAACCACCTTACAATACAATGCTAGCTCAATAAAAACAATCTTGACTACTGAATACAATGGAAAAATGCATTGAAAAATGTTTCAATGAATTTTGTTTTTGTTAATCTCCTTACATTTTAAAGGAGGACCTTCTGGCAGATCTGGATATTATGGTGATGGTCATTCATCTCAGTACAACTACAAACATTGCCAACCGATCACTGAAGAGGGCTTCTGTGTTGTGTTTGAAGATGTAGCTGTCAGACAGGCCTTTATCAGAAAAGTAGGTCCTGCCCTATGATAAAATAATTCATCAGTTCTAATGACAATTGTGGAAGACGTGTGTCAGAAACATTTTTTCACAACTCCTATGTGTGTTTTTTCTTCAGGTCTTCGTGATTCTCACAATGCAGCTTCTGGTCACTTTTGCTTCTGTTGCCTTCTTCACTTTTTACGATGAGGCCAAGACCTTTGTAAGGGAACATCCGTGGACGTACTTTCTGTCTTATGCATTCTTTTTTGTCCCACTGATCCTCCTCAGCTGCTGTGGGGAATTTCGTCGCAAACACCCCTGGAATCTGATTGCACTGGTAAGACCTCTTCAGTTCAACATTTTAAAAAAAACTGTAGATTAGATCAGATCAATTGTATGAGGTTGTTTCATTTCTAAGCAGAATAATGCCGTATTGTATGTTACTATGAGTAAGAAGAAGAAAGATTGTCATTGTGACTGTTTTTTAACCCATCACCAACGTGAACAGTGGGCAGCTTATAAGCACCCGAGGAGCAGTGTGTGGGGACAGTGCCATTCCCAGTGCACCTCAGTGGTAACTTGGCAGCTTGTGGACTTGAACCAGGAGCCTTTCAGACCCAAGTCCTCTTCCTTAACCACTAAGCCACCACTGCCCTTAGGTTTCATCCATCAATTCATTAATGTTCAACCACTGCAGGGGGCAACAGGTCACGAGTACATAGGACAAACAAATCCTCACATTAATACCTATAGTAAATAAAGTGAACATTTAACCTCGTCCCCAAACTTCCTGTTTTTCTAACAGAATCTAGCATATCTACCAGAAATCTGACTGTGTGGAAATTTGTATTTATTTTTGGTATACTTTAGACATCATCTAACCCATCTGTGTTACTGACATCAGTGAATGTAGTCCTCAGACGTGTGTGATCCAGTCCACAGCGAGGTGTTGAAGTTGGGCTTTTTTCAGGAGGACTATTCTGTCAATGATACGACACAGGGAAGGCCAGGCCAGTCCAGACCGGTCCAAACACAGAGAAACCTATACCACGTGATCAACAGTGCACTACTGCAACAGGTTCATTATAAATCCTAAGCTGTCTCAATACTTACTATGCTAGTCTCAATACTTCTTCAAAAAGAAGAAAAAAAACCACTTGTCCTTGGGGACAAAATGAGAGCTCAATAACACATTCGAGGAAGTGGTTCACCACAGACAGGATGAAAATTGTCTGATGGATGGATTTTCAGGGTGTGCACCAGCCACGTCAGTCTGAACAATTTGAAAACCTTTTGTCAACAACTTCTTCTGAAGTGCTTCTGTAGTGCTGCCTGTCTCTGAATGTTCTACCTTAACAGCAGGACATTTTGGGGTTTAAAAAAGGCCCTGTCCTTACATCTGGTCCCTGCCCCCTGCAGTGAAAACACACCTTTTGTGCCAACATACAAGTTTCAGCACCACATTTACACTTGGTATATGTCACTAAGACGGTAGCTTAGGGCGCCATCTGCTGCAAGGTGCAATGTTGTAACCCTAAATAGAACATTTTAAGCTCTCTACTGACTGCAGACATCCTGACATACATGACAGTGGCACTTTATTAAGGCACAATGATTCTATACATTGTCTTACAGCTCATTCTGACACTTAGCCTCTCCTACATGGTGGGGATGATCGCAAGCTATTATGACACAGAGATTGTCATCTTTGCGGTGGGCATCACTGTGGTGGTCTGCTTCACTGTAATCCTCTTCTCACTCCAGGTCAGTGTGCGTGGAGGAAACATTTTGGTTTATCTTTGGTTGTTTTAGTTGTAACTCTTAGAATGCACCATGTCAAGTCTCTGTTTATAAAATGTTCATTCTACAGACCAAGCTGGACTTCACTTCCTGGTATGGTGTGCTGTTCGTGTGCATGGTGGTGCTGCTCCTTTTCCTAATCCTCTGCTTCTTCATGAGAGACAAGTACCTGTACATTATCTACTCCACGCTGGCAGCTCTGCTCTTCACCTGTGTATGTGTATCATTAATAGTTTGCAAAAACAAATGAGAATTCAATAGTATATTTCTAATAATAACTATACTGGTAACAGAGTATAATTAAACGTTGCTGTTGGCGTTCAGCAGTTATAGACATACAGACAGGTTTCTGCTAGGTGGTGAATGCCCTTAACTACCAGAACTATTTGGCTTTATAGTTAACATCCACTCTAACAATGACAATCCCCTTGATCGATTGTTGTTATTTAAACCACTCTTGTTCCTTTGTCGCAGTTTTTGGCTGTGGACACTCAGCGTCTCCTCTGTAACAAGAAACTGTCCATGAGTCCAGAGGAGTATGTTTTTGCTGCCCTGAACCTTTACACAGACATCATCAACATCTTCCTCTCCATCCTGATGTTAACTGGACAAACCAGGGAATAAGACTGCATTTGAAAGTACTTCAAGTACTTTAAGCTCAATGGTTTTTATTCTGTTTTTTTTTTTATTTATTCTACAGCGCTTGACTCTTTATTTTCTCAAAGAGTTTATAATAATAAGTTGTGCAGGTTGTGATTTATGTGCAGTCTAGATTTAAATGATGTTTGTCTTTCTACAAATCCTCATTTTGTCTAATTATGCTGCTGATGTGAGGTCACTCAGCATGACAAAGAGGGAATCAAAAACAATAAATAATGACAGTGATTGATCCCAGTGTCCTTTTAGGATATGTTATAATTGCCTTCACTTTCATAGGGCTAACTTTAACCTAATCTGTATTTTTATTTTTTTTATTCTATTGTTTATATGTTTATAATGGCTCTTATTTCTTATTCCTTGAGACTTAATAGTCATGTCATTAGCAACCACTTTTGAAATAATGTGAGTTGATATCTTTGTTCTACAAATGTCAAGCTAGGTATTTTGCACACACACAAAAGAAATAAGCCATTATTTCTCAAGTGGCACTAAAGCAAATGGTCACAAAACATTTAAGGTCAAATTTCAATATTACAGAGGGGGTTTGTTCCATGCTACTGGAAATTAACAATATTGTGTAAAAGAACACTCTTTATTTTATAGTGCATTTAGTGTTTTATTAGACATTCCTTACAAATAGTGTTAAAAAAAAAAAACTCTGGATAATCTGAACACCGTTGTACCAAGCTTCATAGGAATTTAAATCAGATAATGTAAGCTTTAGTTTTACATTGCTGTGGAGAGGTATGAAAGAGTACTCAAGGTAAAAACAATTACTTAAAACCAAAGTTACTGTACTCAACTACAAATTAAGTGTTCGGACACAATAAATGCCTTTTATTTATATTTGCACAGCCTTTTCTGCTTTACTTTTACAAATGGTTGTTTCTTGTATGGTTAAATATAACGAATCCTCATTATATAAAAATAATTTATATAATTATAAAATTGTATAAAACATTTTTTAAGGAACAACAATATTCAAACTAATCTGGCGCTGTAGTGCATACTAAAAAGGTCTTTCGAAAGGCGCCAAATGTGTTCACGTCATTTCTGTCTCACTGAATATATAGGAACTGATGTTACCGCGTAAAAGCAGGGAAAAAACTACTTCTACGAGGTAAGCTTGAGCAAACCAACATGTGAAACCCTTTTAGTTAATGAAACAGTAAGTATTAGAATAATTTTGGCCATTAACTAAAAATGGGCAAATATCTTATCAAATAAATTTGCCAATGGGGTCCTTCTGTTAGCATTAGCCTAACAATTTTAACATGACAGGTGATAACGGTTTGAACTAATTTTCTTTTAAAAGTCGCCTTAACTTAAACTGATCATTTTGTTCTCTTAAAAGCAGTTTAACAGCATACGTTAAAATAAGTTTGTAATAACTTGTAAATAGTTGTTTAGCTAAGTTTAATTTAGCTTAGTTTAAATGGCATGAATAGCTTTAGGAAAGTAATGTCGGGTAATTGGTGTTTTTTCTAACAGGATTTAACATGGAGGACATATTTAATGCTACACCCCTCAAGAAAGGTAAATGTATTATAATGCACTTAAGGTTAAAAGGTTTCAAATGTCACATTTATATATTTTGTGATCTGCAGATTTACAAACATCGGAGCCAAAAGTTGACCAGGCTGTAGCTAAATTAAGAATCCTCCAGCAAGGTAAAGTTAACTTGACAAAATGAACAGCCCGTAAGTAAAATTTAAGATAGACGTTATTTGTAAATAATCTATAACTTTATTTTAATGTTTTGCTCTTTGAACGTAATGTGAAGTTGGCCAAAACTACAACTACTGTTACCGGAAAGCTGTTTTTTACGTCAGAAATTTTAACGGGTACATACGAAGTTGAAATAATGATCTACAGCGTGTATCCGCCCCCGTATCCAATGCACTTGCCACACGTTTTTGTTGTCATATGAATCCCTTTAGGCATTATGTCGTAGAATATGTAATTAAAAAACTTAGCATCAATTACATAACCACAACTTGCGTTCGATGCGCGATTATTTAAAACTTATTTAGCAGAGAGGTGGTGGACGATACGTATCTTGTCGTTTTGGTTGTTCTCTGTAGAGCCTCACAAGTACTTCCGGTACTAAGAAGTTGACCCCACTTAAAATTTATCGTTAAAAACTATTTGAAATGTATAACTCTGATTAAGCGCCAGATGTTGTAATGGTATTAACTATTGTCTGTTAAAACTACGCGTTTTGAGCACTCCATTGGCAGAGCAAAAATGTAATTCTAAAGTTAAGCAACGTCGACCAATAACAATGCAGGTTTTGCTGACGCTACACCAATGAACACGGGTTTTGTTTTAAGTTAACCTGAAATAACGTCATATACAACAAAAACCTACCCTTAGCGAGCTCAAACAAAGCTGAAGCAAAATAACATTAAAGTCAGTGTACTGAAGTTTAATTGTATGGCAAAAATGTTTGGACCGTGAGTGAGATAGTTGTCTGTAATATATATATATGATCTCGACCCGGCAGTTAAGTATCTTCAGTGAGGTACATCCTTACCTGTTACTCCTTCCGGGGAGTTGCAGAACATGATGAATGGAGCACTATGAGATATGATTATTATCTCCGCTCTATGGGGAACAGCAACACCCCGTAGAGACCATTCTGACCAAGTTGTTAATGAATTAAAGTGATTATAGTAGAAGGATCATGTGTTTTACACATATCCGTTGTGCAGTTTTAATACATTTGATATGGTGTAAATTTGTGTTCAACCTTTCCATACCCGAGATGAACAGTATAACTAAGTAGATTTAAAACAAGGTTGTTTTACATGCCATTAATTAAAAACCTTAAAATTTAATACAGGGGATAACTTAAAGATAACTGAATCCCTAACCTGTATTTACAAATGTTTCCCTTCAGTGTCCTAATTACTATATATAATTAAGATGTTTTAAAAAATACTATTTTGTGTTAAAGTTGCCTTCTGTTTTATTCAAGGTAAAGAAGTTCTGGAGGAAGAAAGTGATCAGATCAAATCTGTCAGGGACTCCCTGCAGATAGAGCTGCAAAAGTGTAAGAAACAATGTCATTATTCGACATAATCATTTAAATATATGTCACCTGGCAACTTTAGGAAGTGGACTAGGAAGTAACCTACTTTGTATTATTTACTTTTGAGGTCAGGCCTGTCTTATACTTTAATAATAGTTGATGTTGGGCCACCTATTTATGCTTACTACCTAAGTACAAGAGCAACTCTTTAATTTGGTATATATGTACATAAGTAGACTTTTTTCTGTTTTTACAGTACAAACAGAAGCCTACCAATTGGAAAGAGTCCATAAGGACAAAGAAGGTACTGACACCAAACAAAATGCATTAATATCATTACTCTTCAATATTAATACCTTCAATGACTTCATGCCTAATAAAACTGCATTTTCCCCTAGAAATACCACTCCAATATTTCCTTGAAATACATTCATAATTAGCTTGTTTATTTATGACTCAACTTTTCTTTCTAGAACTTTGCAATAAACTGCAGTTCCAGTTTGATGAATCTGAGCAGGACTGTGTACGGTGAGCTCCTTTTTCCTGTATGTGAACGCAACACAAACACGTGGTTAACGATATAAATTTCTCCGTCGTGGGACCTTGATTTGTGTTGCTAAATTGTACCACTGGGTGGCGGTAGATCGTCAAGCATTGGTAGCATTCCGGATTGTTGATCCTAATGTAAACTGTGGTGTTGTACACAGTATGAAAAAAACCAAACTATTTTTCTAGTTTTAAGTTTTGTTCAGGCTCGAAAAGTGACCATCTCACCTTTTTACCTCCACAACCATTGACCTAAACGCGTTCATGTCCTCCTTCACTGTGTCTGTAAATTTTCTCTGGTTAACATTTCCTCATCATCTCTTTACTGACATGCATTTCTGAGATGTCTGCATTGAATTCATTTTTATGTTTTAACTTCTTTGACATTATTGTATTAGACAGATTGTTTGATGTTTATGTGTGCTGTGTTTTAGACAGCTGAAGAACAGTAAGCAAAGTGAGGGACTGATGGAGCAGTACAAGTGTGAAATTCAGGAATATAAACTTAAACACAGGAAGCAAAGGTAACCAAACCAAAGTTGAACAATTACTTGATTATTTAGCAGTAAAATTATTAAACATTGTTTCAAATGATTCATTTTTTCTTTGCAGGTTGAAGTTTGAACAGCAGCTTCATCTACTGATAGAGCAACATAAAAATCTGCGCTCCATTTTTGTAAATTTGTTAGCTTTGAATTGTATTTCAATTGGTAGAATGTAATCATTAACGTAAAGGAGGGAGAAAATTGTTGTTTTCTGTGGTTCCATTTTTAGACTCCAGAAAGGCTGCCCGATGAGATCAAGACAACTGAGAGCAGAAAAGTTCAGCTGGAATCTGCCGGTATGAAACAATTTGTTACAGGATATTCACAAAAGACATGCAGCTTTCCTTAATGTTTGGCAGCACTGTAGTCTTTCTCTGTGATTCTTCTAGAAGAGATGAAGTTGGCCCAGCTGTCCCAACTTGACGAGGAGCTACAAGACACTAGGACACAGAAGCAGGTGGGCATCGGGCCTTAGCAGCAGTAAATCTACACAAATGATGGTCCAGGAGGAGAATTAAAGGTTAGAATTCCACATTATTGTCTGCAGGTAGCATTTGGAACATGTAGCTGCTACGTCAAAGTTATACTAGACGTGGATGATCTTTTATTCATGGCAGCCTGTTCTGTGTGTTCACTGCATTCATTTCAGTTGTTCAGCAGTGTGTTCACTAAGTCTGTGACTCAGTTCAATTCTGATTTGTGCACAAATCTAATGAGTCAATGAAATTGTTCTTACATGTTACTGTCAGGGTATTGTGGGAGAAGTGATACTGAGTAGTAGAATGTTTATCATTTTTCATGCAAGTATTTTTGCGGGAATGTGGTTAAAAAAAAGTCTTTTTGTGGAGGTTTAGGAAAGCACAAATGAAAGTCTTCAGATCAATACACACATTTATCTTCTACAGCCAGCTACACTCAGTGTCAGGTTTCAAGATATTCAAATTTAATACAACACTTTTTTTGCAGTATTTCAAATACATGGTAATACTCTTTGAGTTTTTTCTTAAAGGAACACACTTATCCTGTGCAGCTGATTTACCCACAAAGTAATGGCAGTTTTACTCTTTTCTTTTTTAACAGTAGCATAGACTACTGTACATGTTTTTGTTAATTAAAAAGGCACATAAAGCACGTTAATAAAACAGCAAGAGTGATCATCATCAAGTCATTCAGAATTTCAACAAGCTCGTCTTTTACTTAAATACCATATGTACAGTCATTTTTGCATAGATAAAATTCAAGCCCTGAAGTGTTCTTATAGCAATAGATCTTTTTACCTTACTTTACAAAAACACAAAAAACAAAAATAAGGTGTCAAGCAGCCTTGGGAGATGTACCTTAACAATTCAATCTTTGGTTTAATGGTTGGCCAACAAAAGAGCCCTGCACAGGGCGTAGTTTCATACAGGTTAAGAGGCTGGGCTCTACTGTGCTTAAGTATGCAAATGTGCATGTCCTTTGATTCCCTTTGTCAAGGTTATGACTGCATGGGTGCACTCTTACTGCAGGTATTTTACTTTTTCTTACATGCCCTACGAGACGGATCAGAGTATTTGTTTGCTACCAAAGTTCAGCTTGAGACTTCTCTTTAAAGCAGATCAACACCTCAGCACAAAACTATACAACACTCCCTTGAAACGATAAATTTAGAAACTGTGCTGTGGCTGCTGATCATTAAACTCCTTTGACGTTCCCCTCACAATCCCTACAATATACTCAAATTGCTATAATTTAACCCTTTAAATATCCAATTACCGTTTATTATCGTAACCTCTCCTATTTTAATATTGGCCCCAGTTGGCTGTTGGCACGTGGTCGCTCTACCTACTGTAATGCCTCACACTGGTTCTATACGTATGCAGTGAATTTTGCTGTGTTTTTTTTTCTCTCCTTAAGTACAAACTTGGCCGACCTCTCTGACCTCTTTACCGTCTCAGTCATGTTCATTTGAGCTTTTTTAAAGAGAACCTTCAGCTAATGTAGTCATGCAGAGAAACGCCTCTGTTTCACCATATTAGGTAAAACAATGTACCAGATCTTGGCAAATGAGCACATTACAAGCTTGGGGACTTCAGTTTGTTTTCAAAATGTTTTTCTAACATTTATACATTTATATTGTCTGTTCAAGTTTTATTTTTCTTAGTAGTGAAAATCCACAAAGGCTGCAGTGATGAGCCACAGAGGTACTTTGATAGTGTTGCTGGCATTAATGGGCAAAGGTTCTTTTGATCATCTTGCATAAATAGTTTCCATCTAAAAGGCCGTTCCTCCGTCTTTCGTTAACCCAGGCTATTCCCCATCTGTTAACAGAACAACAGCAATGTCAGTGAATGCAACAGAGTGTCAACTCCCTCCTGTCTGTCTGTAATCTTCTTTTTCTCTATGATACCAACATCATCTGTGGACTTTAGCGAAAATGACTGAACTGTTTTGAAGTGATAGCTTGGGATTTTTCAAGTGTGGTTGTATGAGGACCTGAGACAAAGTAAGTCAACTTTAGGAACTATATGGCTCCCGGGGTTACTTAGACAAAGGCCTATTTTATATTGTCTAGTTGGCTTCTGTTAAAGATGCTGAGAATTTTGTTTGGGTGAGCCCAGGATGGACAGGATCAGAAATAAGTGGATGAAGTTGTTTTATAAGTCAAGTTAGTGTTGAAACATAAAGATGTTTTGTACATGCATTTTAAGCAAGGTGGTAAATACACTGGACAATTTTATAGATGGATTTTAACGATACTGCTGTGCTACAGCATAGACTGTGTAGTCTGTAAAAAAAATAACACCCACCCAAATTCTTACATTAAGTACTAATATCACATAATAAAAAATGATTTAAATTAAAAATGACTGATTTTCATTTAACATTACTTTAGAGCTAAGCAGTTTAAAGCTACAGAGACATCGGATTTCAGTTGTAAATATTTTTCTAATAGTGAGATAAGGGGACAAACACATTCTTGAGATATTTAAAATCTGAGCAGCAATTTTTTTTACCAGGTGAATTGCTTAGTAATATCTGAAATATGTGCTTTGTCAAGAATCCCCTCTGATAGCCAAGTTTTTAGTTTCTCACCCTGTCTCTTGATGGGAGCAGGTGTTAACACGTCATACAACCACAGCTCAAAAACATCTGAACTATCCCTTTAAGATCTATTTCAAAGTGGCTATAAGAACAATTTAGTTTATGTGTCTATATAAAACAGCGAACATTAGCTGGTGCACAAAAAATTATTTCCACAGCTTAAAACCTCAACACTACGTCATTTGCCATTTTCAGGTGTAAAAATTATTCTAAACAAGCTAAACAAACATTAAAAATGTATTTGTTTCACACTAGAAGAATTGTTTTTGAACATTTCAGACTCAGCACTTAACAACGACTTCTACAACATTTTACTTCTAACTGTATTGTATACTACACAAATGCATACTAATACAATTATTACCAAAGCTAACAAACAAAACAGCACAGAATTGTTCTGTCTTTTAGTCAATAATCTTACTAATTTACCTTCTCTGCTACCTGTCATCTACACAACAAACATCATCTTTGCAGTGATAAACTACCTCAAAGCGGCTGTAGACCTTCTTCTCCTTCCTCAGACTCTCTATCCTCTTCAGCAGTCCCTCCCTCTCCTGGACGTTGCCAGCCGGCCGCAGGAATCGGTTCCTCTTTATAAGAGAGTTCTCCAGGCCCTTGTCCCCGCTTTCACTGTCTCCACCAGTTTCCTCTCGCTCTATCCTATTCTTCTGACTGTTGGCCGAGATTTGCTCCAGAATTACCTTGGTGTCATCGCGTAGGTTGCTACTGAATAAAACAGAGTTGCTCGTTGCCTGGTACCTAGATGAGCCTGTAGTCCCAGTCGTTGTCTTGTGATTAGTTTGATCTGCATTAGTAGATCCTGTTTCTTTGGACGACGTACTGTGCCTACTGCTCAACTCTGAGGTGATCTCTTTGACTGTGCTCATGCCCCTGTCGTCATTTGAGCCTTTCTTGTCTTTATCCTTAGGCCCCAGGAATCCCTTCAGCCTCTGAGTTTGCTTCTTTAAAAAGTCGATAGTCTTCCCTTCACCCTTTCCCTCACCCAGGGTGTTGATGGATGTGCTTGAACCCATGAATCTTTGGTGACCTTCCCTCGAATCATCATGTAGCAGGGTTGAGGAACTATGAGAACGGCTCTTTTTCAGTTCACTCTTCTCTGCATCTGTAGCATCTGTAGCGGTCAGGACCTCCTCTCCACAGGAGATACGTCGTGGATTCAGTCCTTTGAGCTTCAGTTGGTCCTTTTTAAAAAGTTTAGGTGAGGGGAGAGGCTTTAAAGACTTGAATAGATCTTTCCTTTGCCCCTCTGATGCATTCTCTTCTTTTTGAGACAGAGATGTTTCTGAAGGCTTCAGCAAGCTGGCAGAGGGCTTGGCAGGGATTACTGGTGGTTTAGAGGAACTAAATGAGGGCCTACGAGTGAGCTCTGCCAGTTTGGAGGAGATGTCTGACTTCTTTGGTTCAGGTTCCACTGAACTAACTGGGAGTGTTGTAACTTTTGTACTTGTCACATTGATAGACGGTTTATTTAAGAGGTCTGGCTTTTTTTCAGCAGGCTCTGGGGCTTTCAGCGACGTCTCAGTTTCCATTTTGGAGGCTTTTCTCTTTGCAGCCAAGTCTTTAAAATACTGCAGTCGATTAGCTGGATCATTCATGTTTAGAGATGATGACAGTGTGGCCTCCGGAAGTTCAGGAGGTGTTTTTTCCTCTTGAATTGTCATGTGAGGCTCCTCCTTTGCTTTAATCTCATCTTTTATTCTACTCTCCCTTTCCTGTTCCAAATGATATTTCTTTTCTTTTTCTTCTCTCTGTTTTTCTTTCTCCATCTCAATTTCTTTCTCCTTTTCTTTCTCTTTCTCTCTCTCCTCTGCTTTCTTTCTCCACTCAAAAGGCTCACGAGAAAGTGACCTCCTCTTTTCCAGGATCTGGGCAACAATTGAGGAGGTGCGCACAGTATCCAACTCTTCCTCTTCCTCTGTGGCAGGTTTCAAACCAAGACTTCCACTGTGAATTTCAGCCTTAGAAGATGAGAAAATAAGTGAGGAGCGGAGACGAGAGCTACGTTGAAGAAGTGGGTTTACACGTGAACGGAATGATTCATGTTTGGACAGGAAGCGTTCTGGACCCTCTTTCACATCCACATCGGCACCAACCTCCATTGTTGCCGCCCTCTCTATATTTCTTTCCCTCTCAATCTCCCTTTCTCTTTTATCCAGTGTATATGGCTTCAAGTCACTGACTGAAGGATGGAGATCATTGCCTGCTGTTGTTGAGTCTTTATTGCTGCTATTAGGTAATATGGGCTTTCCAAACCTTGGTCTCAGGATATCTGGTCTCGGCTTTGAAGGCACATGAGGAGGCTCTTTTCGTCCAAAGCGAGGACTTGGATTGTCAGGCGCTGTGGGTTGTTGTGATGAAGAAGAGTCCTCAAATGCATCAGGCCCTAAAGGCTGAGTTAGACCTTCTTCCCCACCGTCTTCATATGTGCTAAGATAGGAATTAATTCTCCAACTCCTTAGGCCTTGCTTAACAGTTGGATCTTGATCATGCTCTTGGTCAGACTGTTTAGGAAACGGCTTCTTCTCTGGCGGGTGGAGCTGTGTTGGTGAACTCTGGCAGGCATAAGCCTGACCTATGGTTGGCCTTTTACTGGAGGAACCTCCTCCATATCGTCCAGCCACTGGAGGTGCTTGATGACCCTCTGATGCGTGTAAGTCCTCCGATGAAAAGTAGTCTTGGCCGTAGACAGCAGGTGGAGGCTCCAGATCTGAGCGAAAGCTTGATTCTGAATACTGGTCAATGGCAAGGTGTGGTGGACGACCTTGAAGTCTGTCATAATGTCCGTGGCTTGACCCAGGCCCAGGCCCTTCAGAGTAGAAGTGGCTTCCTTGGTTCTGTTCCCTGTGTGTAAAAAATTGGGTTGTACAATCATAATATGTTTTCACAGAAGAGAGTAAAACTTATCGCTTGTGAATAATTAAAATAGCACACAGTTTAGTCATCATGAGTTTACCTGTGATAGTCCATCTCATCAAGATTATTCAGAACTCTGTGCTTCATGAATTGCCTTGAGGACGCGTAGTTTTCCTGGGTTCCCTCTGCATAGCTATGCCTCTGGAATGCACTGAGTTCCATCTGCCGGGACACAATAGATCTTCCCTGCTCCAGGAAGGACTGTTGCAGACGAAACTGCTGCTGGGAATACTTTCCAATTGTAATTCCAGCCCCAGGTTCAATGGTGTGACGGAATGGGTCATTCCTCCGGAAAGGAAGTGCAAGGTTTCGTTCAGTGTCTCCGTAGGGAAACGCAGAGGAATTCTCAAGCTGCCGTCGAAAGCCGATGGGGTTGCGTAAAGACTGTGTCCTCTTCAAACCAAACTGATTGCTCAAGTAGCCGCTGGAGCTGCTGGTGTCAGAGATGGTGAGTGCTGCATCTGACGGGTCAATGACCAGAGGCTCTGACTGAGCATAGAGGATTCGAAATTCTTCATCAAAGGTGGCAACTAACTCCCCAAGGAAGAGGTGAGCGATGCAGCGATGGATCTTCTCATAGGACCACATAAAACTGTTGAAATGAAAATTTGTTACATGGTACATAAAATAACCCGCTTAAAGAAAGTCATAATCAGCAGAAGTTAATGAATTACCTATAATTTCCACTGAGCACAGCCCTGCAGTCAGCCAAAAGGAAACGATCTTTTACTTGTCCTTTAAATGATTTCCCTGTTCGAGAGTAATAGGTTATTCCTGCCACTGTCCTCACACGCATCATCTGGAAAAAGAAAAAACATTTTTTACACACTACCCAAAATATTTTTGAGCTTTATTTGGTTTTAGAATTTTAAATAGAAGTGTTACTCCAGGTATTTAAACTTACATGAATTAAGTCCAAGTTAACTTTGCAGTTAACAACCATAGACACAAAGTGATGGGCTTCCTGTTCATCTAGAAGGATGTAAACAGGAATATGGCGTGCAGCTGCGTCCAAAAGGTCGGCAAAAATGTCAACATCTGAGAACGTGTCCATCACCACGGCAATGACCTACAGGAAAAGACCAAACAGAGAAACAACCTTTATTATTAAAATATTTTATTTGGCTTATTTGGCTTTACGGACATTTAATGTACTGGATAAATGAATTACTCATCCAAAATGGCAACACATTTAATTAAAAAAAAGAGGAGGATGCTGTGTACTGTTTTTATAATTTGTAAATGTTCAGCTGCAGAACATTATTTTCAGCTAACAGCTAATTATTTAGGCTTAGCCTACTTTTTGATTGATTTGATTGATTGATACTACAAAAGTGCCCAAAAAAAAACAAAGAGCAAAAGAACTGGTTTATCATGCTTCATCGCACGATTCGTTAATGACCTAAAGGAAATCTTAACCGTTGTGTAGACTGTCAAAAGAGGTCTATAGACATCGCAGGTGAACAACACAAATAACTATAGGTATGTCAACTCTAATAGCATTAAATAATAACATTTCTGACTGCTGAATGGGTCATAAATCTATTATTAAATTTTATTTCAAAAAAGATATTCAGCAACAACAGAACAATTTTGGCTGATAGTACACATTTCTCTGGCAGTGTGGTTGATGTACACATTCATTATAAGGAATTCAGTTTCTACATAGTATAGTGAAACTAATGAGTTGTGTTTTTGGAACCAGTCTCTCCTGCTGTTGACATGTTGAAACACCTACATTTAGACATAAAATAACCACAATCAGTATTTACTGCCAGAATGAGACACACAAACAGATACAAGGACTGGGACTGGTTTGAGACTTTGACTGTCTGTAAGATTAGGTGTATCATGTGAGTTACTCAAATAATATTTTCTGTTACCTAATTGAATCATCAAAAAGCTATCCTTCAGGGAGTGGTAGCAGAGCTGTGAGTGGCAGATAAAAAGTAAGATAAGGCTCAGAGTTACATAATATATCTCACATGCACTAGACAGACTTTTATTATTATGAGTATTTGGGTAGTATAAGTCTAGGCACAACAACCTCGACCAGACCTGGACTGTACAGCCACATCTGACCCCTCTGACAAAATGATTTCTCTTTGTAATGTTGCTCACTGCCTATTAATACTTGTGCAGAAGAAGTATGTTGTTCACAAAGATAATATTGCTCTTTTAGTAATTAAAAAACAGTCCTTTGGTCTGATAAATACAACATTCAATCAAACCAAAACAAAATGTTTTTCTATTATGTTGGAAAAAGCTGCTCAGTCTGATGTTAAGGAATTCTAGAAGTTCCAGATAAGGCAGTGATTTTGTTTTAGATTAATTCTAGATCTCTTTTAAGGTTTGATAAACTTACATGACGTGCGCTTTTGATGAGCCTCCTGGCCTGCTCTTTAATGCTTGGCATATCTGGGTCAGAGGGGTTGACCAGAGTGGTGACCTCTGTGGGCCCAACAAAGCTGTGCTGGGGCAGCGGCCAGCCCAGGTCCAGCCCTGGGGCAGCCAGGTCAGACTGAACAGGCCAGTAGGTGTCAGAAGAGCCATCGTCCTGATCACTTCCATCGAGGTACGTTAGCTCAGTCATGCTAGTGGTCCTACAGGGCATCTGGGTCGTGGATCTAATGTGTTCAATCTCTGGCTGAGACAGGAAACTGACCACATCCGCAGTCTGGAGGAACTCAAAGTAGCCCTGGTGTCACAGGAGATAAAACCACATTCTTGTTGTGATACATCAGATCAGAATTGGTACAAGACGAAAACACAATTAGAAAATAAAGCACAGTATTACCTGTATGTCATTTTCTATAAGGGCATCAATTGCTAGACGATACTCCTCGCGGTAATGTGGAGGCAGATAGTTAGGATCCAGGGGGTTTTCCCCAATGGAAGAACTCTGTGATCGGTGAGCCATGCTTGTGGAGGGAGGAGTTGGTCCACAGGGAGCCACTTATAGAACAAACAGGAGGAATTTCAATCTGTGTCGAGAATACAAAACAAGTCAGTCTTCAGAATATCTGTCATTTTTGACAGCAAGACCTAGTTAAGTTTTAAGTTAAGAAAAATTGAATTTTTATGAAAATGTTTACTGATGTTGTAAGTCAAGTAAGAAGTGAGATTCAATCATTCAAATTGTTTATAGTGTTCTTTTAGCAACCTGTTGGTGTTCTGCTACCTTTAGTCACATACATTTCGTGTACACAGTGGATGGGTAACACATATGTGCTTGTTGTAACAGCAATTAACTAACATCCAACTTGATGACCAGGGAGTTTGTAGACAAAGACAAGAACAGAAAAAAAAGAAAGCCAAGAAAGAAAGAAAGGGATTGGAAAGGGAGAGGTGGGAATGGCATGAGGAGGAGTAACAACAGGTTCGTTCATATCTCAGATCAGCAAACTTGTTATGCCGGTGCGTCACGCTTCAAGTTGCTGCTCAGGCCTCATCCCAGTAATATCCTTTAGTTGTGGCAACTAAATGGATAAAGAAGGACGATGAGTATGCTATTAGTTATGTCAGGACACGAACAGACACAGTACGTTTAGTGAAAGGACCAATCTTACACAACAGTTGTCGAGAATGTGTGATTGTTTGGTGGGACTAATGACTGATGAAGAGATGGCTTCTCTTGTGCCCCTCATTTAAATTTTAGGTAATGATTAAACTCCACGCCCAATAAGTCATACAAAGTCTGAAAATGCATCCAAAAGAAAATCAATTTTAATGACCAGGAACTCCAAACACCAAAACAAAAAAGCAGGTTATAAAGATTATGACAGCTTAATTTTTTTATATAAGTAAGTAAGCAAAATAACATCTGCTTATTATGTTAAATGGTAGATAAGTTAATTGATGGTTAAAACAACCCATCCATTTTAAACAATCATGACCCATGGAGCAAATATTCTCAATTCTGTAAAAATCTGTCACTTTAAAATTAAATTAATTATAAAATTTTAAATTTGAGCAGGCTTTGAAAAAGTCAGCTGACTCAGAACTGAACTCTTACAAAAAGTTATATTTGTTGATATTTGTTGCTTTCTCTTTTCTATCAGCTAAGCCAACAAAGACAAACTCGTTGATTTTTAATGCGGCCACAGCGGACAGCTCCATAGTACGTAACTAAAAATTAACTGATAAAATATAAGAAAAATATACCAAACTTTTCCTGTAGGCTGCAGTATGTAGTTTAGTTTTGACTGGGTGAATACATCGCAATAGAAATCGAAGTCTTGGACTCTGGAACAGTGGATGACTGACTTTACAGTCGTACATGACAAGGTGTGTGTGTAACCTGGGGTTGTAGTGGAAGGGTAGTGGGGTGTTTTAGTAAGGTGTGGGCTACTTCAGAATTGAACATGACTTGATTTCTGTAAACTTCCACTTCTAGGATAATGAGTGGTGATAAGGACTGGTCCAAGTCCTGACCTGTTATCAGCAGGAGAACTCAGTTTTGTCAGAGCCCTGGTGAGTCACAGAATAGCCTAGCCTGCAGGAACGCTGTTCCGTGGTGACTCATCTGCGGCACAGCAAAATGGCTGACATCCTGTTTCCCTACTCATTTTTAACCTCACAGTAGGCTGTTCCCCTTCCAAAGTTCCACGATGGGCAGGGAGGCTGCGTTGGGCACATGCGCTGTTTGAGTGGAATATTTAGAGCCAGGCCAAGTTTCTAAAAATCACCTTTGGTTTTTCACATTAAACAAATGTACTCGGCCTTATTGCACATATTTGTACTGTGTATGTGGAATACACAGAGGTAGCAGTAGTGTATACGTGTGGTATCAGACGCCCAGTGAGGGACGAGCATATGCTTATGAACAGCAGCCAAAAACACTGTCTTTTAAGCTATAATAGGTTTAGTGACTCCACCAGTATCTGCAGATAGAAAGGCAAAGAAAAACAGAGAAGGAATTCAAACTGAAAAAGAGGGTGACTCAAGACCACAGTAAAGCTTTGAGGTATCTTATTCGCCCCCTGACCTCTGGCTCTGTTAAGAATGGAGCAGGAGCAGAGTAACACAGTGTTTCAGAGGCATGGCAGACTTTCTCCTCCTCACCGGGCAGACTGGTAGGATAATCAAACAAATAATGCTGCTTTATTTGTTGTTGTAGCAACTGCAGCAAGAATTAATTAAGAAAGTGAAAAAGGAGATGTTCTTCAGACACTCTTTTTCTGTTCCTCTTTCCTTAAAAAAACAACCTCTTTGTTGCTCACACACAAGGACTAGCCTGCTCTAAATGTACCATAAACAAAGCCAGTCTGAAACCCTAAACTACCACAAGCAGAGAGGCTGCAGCTACGGCAGGTCGATCAATCCAATATTGAGATGTGCTCACTGAGCATGTAAACGGCTCATTCTCAGCATTCCTGGCAAGAGGAGACGGGGCGAAAAATGTGAGGAAAGAGGTGGAGAGATAGAACAAATTTATCTTTTGACATGTAAGTCATAGGAAATAATAATAATAAACCTGATGAGACAAAAGCTACAAAAGCCATAACCTATTTTCTCTCCTGTGGCCTCTGTGTGTCTCAAACATGTGTGCATGAACACGCCTCACAAAACAAACACCAAGATTGATCCGGTATACCTCTCCAGTGGATTGTTTTTGTGAGATTATTCAGTGTGTGAAAAGAATGTCTGAAAACAGGTTTGGAGGGACGAGCCAGTAACCTGCTGATGCTCGTGTCAGGAGCTTTCAGTGCAACTTTTTTTAGATTAAAACACACACATGACAACCTACTGGAGATAACAACAAAGCTGGTGTCTCTGTATGTCATCACACCATCTTCCATCTGATTGTTGAACACCACACAAAAGAAAACTCGAGGCCAGCGTATGTATGTTGTATATGGTAACACACAGCAGCAGCACCTTTCCTCCCCTTTCTACAGCCGTCCTGCAAGAAAAACTGGTCCACTGAGGTCCTGCTAATTTTACCCAGTGTCCTTACGTTTCATTAATTTACAGCAGCAATCCTTACAGTTAAATAGATGAAAGGTGTCTTTACATTTGCCACCAATTGAATTACAACCACCACCACCTGTTGTACATACAATACAAACAAACCGATGAATGGGACACAGCCTTGGCCATATGGCTGGTGTGACAGGAGGAAAATCTAGAATTAGACGCACGCAGTGCACATGACAAAAAACTGGCACATATTTAATTTTCCCCCTCAAATTACTGTCACGCTCCAGACTTCTATTTGCACAGTTGAATTTGGGCAAATCTTGTAAAAGTTACATTTTGAATGCGCAGTTTTTGTAGCAGTCAAAGCTCTGGCAACATCTCATGATCTTTATGTCTGCAATAACTTTTATCAGGTCATATATGAGATCAATGTTCACAGAAAGATGGATCAGTACTGCACGTGTACTCAGCAGACAGAAAACTATATGATTACAAGTGGAGGGTAGACTTTCTTATTACCCCATTAATTACCTCTGAATTAGAGGCATCTCAGGTTTGCTTGATGACAGTGAAATACAAAGCCTTGTTCAATGAGCCATTGCACATGCCTGTAAAAGTGTCCGTGTCTTTTCAAGCACAATTCTTCACCCACGGCTCACCATACAGTAGCACACAGACAAAGCCCTTTACTGTCTGCAGCCATGCCAAACTCTCCAACAGCTTGTTTTCTTTCTCTGGTGAATGTCTTCAAAGGTCTGGAAAATGAACAGCAAGGCTTAGAGCGGCCAGCCAACATGGAGCCTTCTGTGTGTTTAGACTTTGTAACCAGTACCCTTCAGGTTTTGTCCTGCACGACAGACACCGGGATGAGCTAAAGTCTCTCTTTAGATCTAGGTGTGATAGTGAAAGAAAACTGCATTACAGTTTTCCTTACAATAAAAGTGTAATAAACATAGAGGGGAAAACAGACACGACTGGAATACAAGAGAATAACTGCTGTAAGAGACAGAGACAGAGTGCATCAGACCAGAACAAATGGTTCAATTAATTTATACAGAACTTTCAAGAAATCTAGGGAATTAAATATGTGTCAGTAAAATCAAATATAATTGGAGCTGCAATTATTAGTCAACTACTGACCCCCTATTCAGTTCATTTGATTGCAAATGTTAATATGTTCTGGTTAGTTTGCTGGTTCAGGTCAATGAGCTATTAATGTTTTTTCTGTGAAATTTGGGTTTTGAGATTTTGGGGGCACAATTATTGACAATTAAAAATTGTCTGTTAAATTAAATATTTGCGTTTGTTCAAGCCAGTATAGGCAAAACCTTATGGAAAATAGTTTAAGTGAATAGAATAGAACAGAACAGAATAGAACAGCCACAGGAAATCGAATACAATAAAACAATGGAAAGCATAGGACCAGAGGAAAATAAGGAAGGTTGCAGAGTTTCTCAGAACACAGAGAGGGGGCTCTCTTTCCCGGACTGCGCGGTGTTGCTTTTTCCATCTCGTACCTCCACAACTTTGCTGCAGAACTTGTCTCGCCTCCTCTTTGTGTGTGTGCGGGTTTTCAACCGTCCTGACAGAAGAAGCTCAGTGTCGCCTTTACCGCTCCGCGTCTCCTTCCGTCAGCGCGTCACATTCCTCAAACCGGGGGGATAAAACTCCAGACAGTAGCGGCTGCAGCAGCTCTTATTCCAGGCCCGGACACAGCGCTTCTCTCGGCGGTATGGGAACCTCCAGAGCGGCCGCCTCTTCGGCTCAGGGCAGCGCTCGGTGAATAAGGAAGAAGAGGAGTCACTGTTGTTAGGCTGGGCTTTCCCATCGACCAAACTCCTCCCAACAAAGTCAAAACTATTGGAAGTTCACACCCAATGGCATATTTCAAATGTAGCTGCCCTTCATGCCTAACCTGATACCGCTGCCTAATGAAACAGTTTGTGTAAAAAGTCAGCATTTTTTAAAATAAAACAGCAAATAACCACCAACCTGTCGTGAAATCTCTAGCTCCCTGGGCTTAGAAGTTCACATTTTACTATATTGAATACTTTATACAGTGTTAATTACTGTGATTTGTTTTATTCAGCAACTGGGTGCTGCTGTTTTGAATCTAAAAAGCTTCTAAAGAGGGCATGGCTTTGTGTTTATGTCTATACACGGACATCCTCAGGTGAACATGGACCTTGTATTGTTGTATCAGTTCTAGTCCAAACCTGTACACAAGTACTGTATACAACAAGTTGAATATTTTATGCATAGCTTTTTGTATCCACCAAAAAATTTAAATTTGGAATGTCTTAAAATATTAAAACAGTACTGTGCAACCCCACAGGCATTTTATGGGAGTTCAGGGGCCCCGAACAAAAACAACGCTGGGTGTCCAGCATTAAACTGGAACAAATCTCACATGTCGCCCAAAAGTTGAAAGCAATAGGCCATAAATTGCCTGCTTTACCTCGCCTGTCCCAACCCCCTGGCAACCCCTGTTACCCCAGAGCGAATATAGACTAGTTTTTGTCCAAATTGTGTCATTACTATGTAAATAGCCACAAACATATGCACAACAGGGGCACCAACCCACAGGCTCCAGAACTGCATTGTTGCTCTGTGGCAGGATAGACACATTTTCTAACACAGGTGTTGCCAACTTGAGAAAGACAAACTTAAACACTAACAAGTTTATCTTCTACTCAAAAGGCCTGGCTTTAAATTTAGCTGCATGCCAATGTGTCTCTGGGCAAAAAAGTAACTCAAGTCTGTAATGTTACTGCCTTATGGAACCAAATTAATGCACCAGTTGTGAAACAAAACAACACAGCAACTCCTTGTTTTGTTTTCTCTAGACTGATGTTTTCATCAAGATTTCTGGCACATCTTTCTAGGGAAAAATATTTTAAAGTTGTCAAAAGATCATTATATACACTGTAAATCACAAACAGAGACTCTGCTCAGAGATTAGCCTTTGACCCAAAACTTGTTCTCGCTGATAATGTTTCTGTCAGACACTCTTTGTTTTTCTTCATGGCAAAAAAAGGCATTCTTGCTGAATCAGCAGACTCCACTTGTTCCTTGTACAGCTCCTTGCTGCAGGCTGTAAAGCTCTGTTCCTCCTCCTTTCATAAGGGCTGGGTTGAAGGAGGCCGTTGCTACATGTAGAATTAGCGCTGGTTAAGGGTCATTGCCGTTTTCCTGTTTATACACCATAACTAAGATCAAGCTCTAGAAAATTAAAGATAATTACATAAAACCACCTTCGTGAATGCAACATCTCATACTCAACCATTTTGCCTTTTCTTCTCTATTACCTTTTTTGTTTGTATTCTTCACCATCTAATTCTTTTTCACTGCCATTTAGCTTCACACAAATGTAGTAGCAAACACCACTGAACTGCAATACAAGTAAAAGTGGTGTAAAAGCTGGTTAATCAACACTGTTTGTGCTGTGTGTTATTCAAAACATGTCTGTCGGACAGAACACACCTTGTTACATTACTCGTAGATAACACACTCACACACACAGGGGTAAGACTCTGTTCAGTCCTGCTCTTGTGGGCGTGCCTGCTGTTTGTATATTTGCCCGAGTTACCATCTAACACAGAGGAGTTAAATAAATTCATGCACACACACACCCACTCACACAAACACATCAGACGCTATATTTCCAAGGCCTCATGCCTGTTTGCTCTTCTTTCATTTATGCAAATGTGCAACTCTCTGCACGACTCTGCGGAAACTCAACAGGAGTGTTTGCATACAGGTGTGTGAGTGTTATGGTTCTGAGAGTGGAGTTTACATGTCGTGTATGTGAAGTGATATCCAGTGGAGAAAGAGTGCCAACAGAGAAAGTCCGCTTACACAGAGAAGTCCCAGTGATAAATACTAGCAGGTATACAGACTGAAAGAGAGAAACAGAGGGTGCGGCTCCTGTGAGGAATGTGCTTAAGGCCTCTTACCACACCCAACCTCGTTCTCCATTTTTCACTCTTGGTTGCTCTCTCTCTCTCTCTCTCTCTCTTTCTCCCTCTCCCTCCTTACTCCTTGTCTCTTTTCCTCTTTCTCTCT